TTTTTAGAATTACTCACACCTTTACTTACAGACTGTTTTATGAAAACCTGGTTTGGTGTGGGAAAATCATAATAAGGAGGGGATTTACAAATAGTCTTTTCTAGCATTTTTGTGCAACTTTTTGGCACAGAATGATGACTACCAACCTCACTGTCTAATTTCTGACTCTCCTTTTCATATTCATCCAATTGCATTTTAAGCTGATTTATTTCCTGTACATATTTATCCGTCAAAGCTTTCATTTCTTTTTCATGATCAGCCTGACGAGTTTTATGCTCAACAAGTAAATCTTGGTATTTCCCATTTTGAATGCCCAAATCGTCACTGTACGTGTCCAATTTGGCATTCAGTGACTTGTTTTCATCACACACCTTAAGAAGTGCTGTCATAAAGAAAGGCCAAGAGTGTATTATGAACGCCATTTTCCTTTCTATGTTCTTTTGTTCAGCAATTTCTTTAAGATATATGATGATGTGTTCATCAGTTAGAATGGTGTGTTTAGCTTCCCATTCTATGCTTTTCAACCAAACCTCATAGGTTGCATCATTTTTCATATGTTTATGAATATGAACTAGAGCATGTTTTCTTAGGTCTTCAATTATTTCAGTATTATCTGTTACAGATTTATCACTGCCACTGGCCATTTTTATTTTTATTTTATTGATTAATCTCAATACAAAACTCTTTTCTATATTAAGATTAAATTGCATGGATTACACCAATATTATTATTATATATGAAATACAATTTCAACTTAAACGATCTCAGCAGTGCCTCCAATATGTGGGGATATTTATGGGATAATAATAGTAACAGTGAGAATTGCCCACTAATTCAATTCTCAGATCCCAAAGAACGTTTATCGTGTTAAGTGAAATGTATACCATATAAATAATATTCACAGTTTATATAAAAATAGATTTTTATTTATGATAACCAATAATTAATAATAATATTATGTAACATGCATGACAATAATCAATGAATATTCAGTATAAAATGGTATGCAATACAAAGAGATGGGTATTACGTTTCAATGGCTAACTAGCATTTTCTGTCAAGAATTCTGACGATTTATGACTAGCTTTCACAGACTGAAAGTGAAACTTTTCACAGGGAAGAACAGAATTCCTCAGAGTGCAGCGTAAGGTCGTAAAGTTTAGCAGACAGTTAGAATAACCCTTTCAATGCTGGCTAGATCTCCTAGGTAGTTAAGATCTATTCTTATGTATTTTTAAATAAAATAACATTTAAACCAGTTCATTAGTCATTTTCTTAAACCATCCAATAAGAGAGTCTAATATGTTATATAAGCAGATTTTAATTTGTCTAAAAGATATCTATCTTAATTTAGAGCAAATCAATACACCTGGATAAAAACAGCGGTATGCTAACACGTGATAATATCACATCAATATATAATTATTCTTAATTCCACCTGCAGAATGGAATGTTTATAACTATATATTCTTAGTTAACTATGATTTCTTAATATGGGAATCTGACCGTGCTTTATCCAGTCATATATAATGCTATTAATACATTTTAATTAATTTAATTTAATTAAATGAAACCAGTATAATTACCAGTTGAGTAGATATTTCATCCGATTGGTAGTCTCAGGAATTTATTTGGATGTGTCTCTGCATGGAGGTTGGAGTCCCCAAACTTCCAATTCCTCTCTTTTCTCTCCTTTGCATATCTTGCATCTGCCTCCTCTCTCGTCTCTCTCTATCTTCCCTTTGTCTTAACTTTTAAAGGGCCAGACTCTCTGTACGTCATCAGTTGATAACCCAATAGAAGCACTAGAGGTGTGGTTATCTTCTAAAACGCAAATTAGGTATTTGGTCTATAGAGGGCAGTCTTGTCCCACTAAACATACCTATCCAGGAAAGAGTTAACTTTTCCTGGTGGCTATTTTGACGTCATTTTGCGTTATCTTTATAGTGCCATAATTTAAAATTTCAAAGGATTTCTTAAATTTTGTCCAGACTTAGCGTCTGCAATTCCTGCCATAATTTCTGATATGACAGATCATGAACTAAGTTTACCCTTTTCCATACAATGGTACCTTATATATATAGACAGTTAAATATTAAATTATTTAATCTTCTCTGTCACAATTGTCTGGGTTTAGATTTGATTATATTCCATTAGCATTTTAGACAGTCTATCCAACCCCCTTCCTTATCACTTGTTTATACTATGCATTCCTTAGCTCTGGCAAAGAGGCCAGACTTACAGAAAGAAATCTAGTGTCTTCTTTGTTAATTTGAAATAACAAAATGGAGTCTGGTCTGTTCAGAGTGACTCAGAATATACACTTTTAGTTTCTATCATAGCACAAAATGTCTGCCGATATAAATACCCTGACATGGTGCAATGGGCCTCTTGACTGGTTTTGCCCCCCAGGCCTAAGGCTGCCAGCCCTCCCCTGGCCTTAAGTCCCAATTTTCACCTTGGATTTCGACTTTTTATTGTGGCTGTATAGAATATTAGTGCTTTGTATGTATAGACACCTTTGTCACTCTCCAGCATATTTTATTAAAAATTGAAAAAGTTAAGAAAAGATGCCCCGGGGGTTTGATCACTTATAGAACTTTATTGGCAAAAGGCCTATTCAGTAATATTCAAAGTATTTATACACCAGTCACTGTACAGCATGCACTGATGCTACAACATCACAATGGATTCCTTTTATCTAAATAAAAAGCAAAATCCAAAAGAGAAGCCTTATTCTTATGAAACTAACAGAGATTTTCTTTGCATCATCAGCAAATACTAGAGCAGACACATGCAAGGTTGAAAAGAAGGGAAATATTTATGCACCAGACCCCTGTTGTTCTGTCACGCTATTGACTACTAAGAAGTTGGACAGTTAGAAATTCCTTTATTCTCATCTTAATATGTATGTGTAAGCATATTCTATATGGAGACCGCTTTTCTTTTCAAACCTAAATTGATATTATTTTTTTAATCTTGTACCAATATTTTTACCAGAACCAATGTAATATTGTATGTTACATTACATTTTCTAAACATTTATATTTAACTTTTCCTCGAAGTTCTATAATAAATAATACAGATGTATGAAAACACACACAATTAATGATATTCTTCATATAAAAAGACCAATAATGTTTTATTAAGAATTATTAAATTAGGCATAACATAAAAGAAAATGTTCTTATTATGTAATTGTTCTGTTTGAGGTTTTCAAACAATCAAAATTTGGTTCAAATCATGGTCTGTGAACAGAAAATTAAAAGTTGGATGTAGTCTAATGGTACCCTTCCTGTATGTTACAAATTAAGTCTTCCTGGAGCAACTGACCCAAAACACATATTTGGTCATGGCTTATGTGAATTTTTATTTAACTGAACGAGAGTTGAAACATTATTGGCTGTTTAGCATTCATTAAATATCTTTTTAAATAATAGAACATGTATGAAGGTATTAATAAGCAATCAGATGCTAGATTATTTAAAATATATATTTAGTGTTTTTTTTTCCATTCCAGGTATGCTGGGAGCTGAGCTTATCTTTGCATGATTATTTTTGTGGGACATACACACTAATCGAGCGCCACCATATTTCCTTTACATTATTGCTATACACCAATGGTAGGAACACCATCTTTTTCATGAAGATTCTCATGGAGGATTTTTTTGTTGAGATTTAGAGCTTTAGGACGAACAGCAGAGCATGTTCTTAAGAGATGTTTTTAAGAAAACATCTTAAGTTATCAGTTATTGTGAGTTTAGTTATCAATATAAATCAGAACAAACACACTCTAAAGGTGCTACAATCTAGTATAATTTATTGAATCATGCTGTGCAGGACGGCGTTGTTTCCCCCTCTCGGCCTTTTAATACACAGTGTTAATTTGTTTTATTTATATTGGGAATGTTTCTAAATGCGAAATGCGTCCAGTGTTTTCACAGCTTTTTTGCTAACTCCCCCCTCCTTCCTACAGCTGCGTAAACTTTACTTTTATTTTTTTTAATCTATTCCCATTTATTAGGTCTGTATTTTTTAGCAATGCTTTATTTTGTATCAATAGACTTGTAATAAAGGATTTGCTTCCTGCATACTATTTGATATCTTCTGAGTATGGTTTTCTTTTTTTTTTCCTACTTACCTATATTTGTTATTTTGGGAACGTAGGTAATCCGCACAGAAGTACAGCATCCACAGTCTCAAGATTTAATGAGGTACAATTATTTATTTTGTATCTTCTCTATTCATTTGATTTATAATAATATGTGATTCACCAAGATGGACGTGTGAAGCTAAGCTCTGCCGATCCCTAGGCTGTCAACTGCTAGAAAGCTGCCGCTGCATGGGGAAACACAACAAACCTGGGGGTAACCTCAAACCTCCCGGGACCCGCCAAGCCTCGTTGTCCGCCTCGATGAGACTGTACCTAACAGCCCAGACAGACATAGCCTCTCAAGAGGCGCCTGAGGCTTACACACTGTCGGAGCCCTCCACGCCTCACCAGGCCGAGAAGAACCCCCTCAATCGCCACCACCTGAATGACTGAACCTTCTGAGGGCACTCGTTATTAACTCCATCAATACCTGCCTACAGGAACACCGACTGGTAGATTGCTGGAGAGCAAAATACCCAGACGACTGGGACTATATATTCTTCTCCATACCCAACCAGACATACTAAAGGCTAAACTACTTCTTCTTACCACACTACTTTCTCACAGACCTGAAAAAAAACCACACATCTGGACGGCAATGTGGTTAGACCATGCCACGATATTTATGACACTTTCAACCTCCCTCTACAGACCAGCTCTTAGACAGTGGCGCTTCTGTCTGACCCGTTGGTGACAGCAGACTTTCACCAACACCTCACCCACTACTTTTGGGAAAACGAGACAACAGATATCCACCATCCTAAATGCTTCCTACCAAAGGCAATACCTCCAAACGAAAACATTTTTCCACACTAATGCAAACAAACGTGGGGCACTACTGGCCCGCATGATTGCCAAATGGAGAGCGACCACTTATATCCCTAAGATTAGGTGGGCTGACAATAAACTGACATACCTACCACTAGACATAGCCAAAACACTACAAGACTACTACCCACAGCTATACTCCCTCCCACGGCGCACACCGGAACAGGGGAGCAAAACGAAAGATGCCACCGTGATGACATACCTGGACCGCCATGTACACAATTGCCTCACTAGAAGAACCGACCATAGAGGAACTAGCAGGGGCTCTTAAGATGACAAAACTGGGCAAGAGCCCAGACTTAGACAGACTCCCCACACGCTACTATAAACAATTCGCAGACCTGCTTCTCCCCCGTCTCCTTAAAGGCTGTAATTCCATTAGAGACCACCATGCAGACCTGGACTGGCCATCGGGCATACCGGGTAAATGCCTGGTGGGCCACCATGGGCGTGGGCCAAGGCCGGCAGGGGAGATCACCGGATCTTCCCGGCCGGCCCATGCAGGGCCCGCGCTACCCGAGCGCCGGCCCTGCTGTGTGCCTTCGTGGGCCGGTGGGGTGATCAAGGATCTCCCTCACCAGCCCACAGGCACTGCTATGCCAGCTGGGGAGCGAGGGAGGCAGGAGGATTCTTGTGGGATTCTGAGCGTTGCCACGGTTACCACGGCAACGCTCAGATCTCAGGCTAGAGTTCACTCTCACCACTGAGACCAACAGGGAAGGCAGCATGGCATCCTCCTCCACACACAGCACCCTCATACACACATCACTTAATACACACACAGCACCCTCAGACACACAGCACCCTCATACACTCACAGCACCCTCAGACACACACAGCACCCTCAGACACACAGCACCCTCATACATACACAGCACCCTCATACACAAACAGCACCCTCATACACACACAGCACCCTTATACACACAGCACTCTCCGACACACACAGCTCACTCCGACACACACCACCCTCACACAAACACACAGCACACTCTTACACATATACAGCACAAACACACACATATATAATATATAAATTAACCCTCAGTGAGTTAACAGGCAAAGACAATTAGAAACATAGAATGTGACGGCAGATAAGAACACCCTCACACACACAGCACCCCTCTTACACGCACACACTGCACCCCTCACACACATGCTGCACCCTTCACACATATACCCAATACATCCAAACATAAAATACACACTCTGGGTCCTTTACACACTAGATCTCCTACACACACACACTGCACCACCTACACACACTACATTCCTGACATACAAACTCTGGATCCATCATGCACACACTACATTCCTTGTAAGCAAACACATACAACATTCTCTAAACACACACTCTCAACAACCCCTACACACACTTTGTGTAGGGAGTGTCGAGAGAGAGCAAAAGAGAGATAATAATCAGATATTTCTAATAATAAAGCTATAATTAGCATTACTAGAACAAATTCATGCCATGTTGTAATTCTCGAATATGACTGCTTAGTAACAGCCATTTCTGTCATAATTATTCATCCAGCATACGATGTAAGAGTTTAATTTGCCAATGTTACGTTTCACTTGGTAAACTCACTTAATTGAACTATTTGTGACAGATTTGTATAAGATTCACATCAGTTCAGGGATAAATCGGAGGACATCCTCATTGTCTAAATTTTTTGTTAAAACATTGTTTTAGTGCTGCGACAGCTGTTACACATTTTATGTTTAAATTCTGTAAATTGTAGTGAGGATTATCTTGACTGCATACTTAGAAAGGTTGTTGGAATTGTTTAGTTTGATAAAACTAGGCCGTATTGTTATAAAAGAAGCCCTAGACCTATATCTTGCACTAAAATACAAGTATCGGTTGTCAGGCTTCTGTTTCTTCCCATCATTCATGCTTGGAATTCTAGGTAACTTGAGTATTGTTGTAAAAAACGATTTAATTTTCTTTGCCTAGGAATCAATTCCTCTTTCCGGTAAGCCGCTATCAGCCCACTTTTATTCATTTTATTTGATCTTACCATTTTCCAATTACTGTTTACAAAACAGCCTTTCTGCCTTTTTCCATATTTCCAAACCTTTGAGTCACTGGACTGTATTTTCTTTACAAATGCATTTAATATACTGCTTTATTCCATAGACCTTTTTATTCTTATCTTAAATACGATTATATGAAAGTGTGGTCTGCCACTGACAGTAACAACTATAGTGTGTACATACCATTTTTATGAATTAATGGGAAAAAAACACATGGGATAACATATCTTCTGAATAAAAAAAATCTAATTTATTTCATTTTTAACTGAAAAATTAACTAACTTTGAGAATTGTATTTTATTTTGTATTCTGAAAAAATAATCCTTTACCAAACTAATATGTTGATCACAATCTTCCACTGGTTTTTTAACCGATAATATTTTGTGAACTATGGGTAGAATTCAACGTGTTTTCAACATGATCACAATACAAAAATAGACCACTTGATTCTGCTTATTCTGTCAAAGTTAGGAGTTATGTTTTGTCATTGTGATAATATAAACTTCAGATCAATATGATTACGAGGCTACTGTGAAAGAATGGTGATTTTGCAGGTTTTGTGATTAACAGTAAGGATGGCAATAGGTGAAATGTTTGGTACATGGTGCTTGTTTTACTCATGTACATTTAAGTAATTTTGCTAAGTTTAATTAAAATGATCAATATTATAAAGGAAAAATGGCTCCACCAATGTGCCAATACATTATTGGGGGTAACTATGATCATTAAAAAAGGGGCACTGTAAGGAACCAAAACCACTACAGCTTGATGAAGTGATTTTGGTGCATAGACTTCATCCCTGAAGTCTAACAAACGTAAGCAATTCCATTTGTGAGAAAAGCCAATGTTTACATATGCTGCTAAGGATGGCTCTATTGTCTACCAATCAGTGACTACAGGCACTTCTTCATGAAGACTTTCAATAACGTGATTCAATGCATCTCTATTAGAAGAATTGGCTGAGTGTGGCAACTGCTGCACATGCCCAGATGATCCCCAACCATCCATCAGTATTATCTCATACTGGAAGCAATGGCTGCACCGCACAGACAGGCCTGCACTGCATTACCATTACTGTCATTTACTATATATATATATAAAAAAATTAATTTCAATTTTAAAAAGAGGGTTATGCCAAGTAAGGAACTCTTAAAGCAGACTAAAGCAGACTCAAGCAGACTAAGTCATCTCAGATAAGTGGTTTCTGTGCAGTTATCCTGTAAACTTTATTTAACTTAATTTTTTTTAATGCAAACAAAGTGGTCAGAAGGGAACCTACCGTCCTAAAATAATGACTATTATTTTCAAGACTGTAGCTTCCTTTTAAATAATTATTTCTGAGCGATCCATTAACAGTAGATTACTTTTGCAGGACTCTTGTAATTCTGGTCTGGGCTAATCTGAATCCCCTGTGGCCTTTTTAGTATGCCACGGACATTTAGCAACCTTTTATTTACTAAACATAAATGAATGAAATGACCATTACACATTTATTTATTTTCACAAGAGAGAGCCTGGAACTAATTTAATTCAGGTTTTTCTAGATACATTATAGCATGACGTAGTCTGCTAATTCTAGTAATAACATTCTAAATGTATATCCCAGTCTTAGGAATTACTGTAGTCCAAAAGCATACTGTACAATTCCTTTGCACATTGAATTTAGATGATATGATGACATAACCTTTAGGTTCATAGATGAAGCTTTCACAAGCTATTAATCAGTTCTCATTACAGCTGACTTGCTTTCTTCAAGCATCAAATTATGGACAAATGGCTAATGAAGCACTGATTACATAGACTAAATGGATGTTAAAGATAAAGTCTTTGTTTGTTGCTAGTTGTTGGCATTCCTGATTATTTTAATAAATATGTGTAGACATAACACAAGTGTCTGCAAAATAACAGGAAACATTTTTGCAGCCTTTTTATTTTCTGGGCCTGATGTGTAATATAATTAGAGGTGACATTGCAATGTGTGTCTTCCTTTTTCTGTATAATTGTAATGCTATGAGATGTGCCTAGAGTGCGAGCCTAGTTACTATTGCTATTCTCTTGTATTTGTGTTAATGGTTTTGGGACCTTAACTGTTAATGGAGAGTTGTGATAATATTTTTACATTATTATATTATAAAGTAATATTCTACACATCCTGTTTGTCGTTCAACAACAGCCGTGTTAGGCATTTCCTAATTCTGTTCCTGTGGTGACATTGACAATGCCTTGAGGGCTCGGTTATGAAGACAATCCCTTTACATTAAGTATGCTTTTCTGTGTCTCTTTGCTGCCTACATTTGTATCCTGCCTATTTATGACCATTTGGTTTGCTGCCAACAATGGCTTGTCTTGTGTTCATCTATGTGTATGTTTCCACACTAGACCTGTCAGGGTACCTGTTGGTGATGTATCCAGGGAGGACATCCTCTCTGCTTAGGGGCTCCCTTCCCCTAGCATTTCGGCATATTTCGGCCGTTTTCGCGCCGGCCGCGCTAGCTCCTCCCCCTTTTATGACGCGACGGCTAGCGTCGACGTCATGACGTCGGCATTTGCATAAAGTGCCGGGAACCGCTATTCCGGACCTTTTGGGGGCGTGGTCTCTATTTAGGTAACAGGGTATTTAAAGGAAACCTTTACTACTGCTCATTGCCCTGTCGTGGTTCTAGCTTGCTAGTCACTCAGCGCGTTCTTTATCTAGTGTTTCCGGTTTTGACCCTTGCTTGTCTTTTGTCCTGTTGTCCTCTCCTCTCCTTTGACTCGGCTTGTATCTCGCTTACCTGTCCTCCGGCTCCCTTGACCTCGGCTTACCTTTTGACTATTCTTGCTTTGTCCTTACGTTAGTCCGGCCATTCTAAGGTCCGGTATACGTACCTCCTTCTGTGCGCACTCTGCGTATTGGATCCCTGTCAGTTTCCTGACATTACGACAGGGCCATGATGGATCCTGCAGGTGCTAGTCCTCCTGACCCCAGATTTGAGGCCATGGACCATAGAATGGACCAAATGGCTTTAGCGTTACAAACTTTGTTGACACGCTCCAGTACCCAGTCTGAAGAAATACGTTCCACTGCTAGCCACTCGCTAAGTACTGGTTTGGAAGTAGCCACTGTAGGCGCATCTTCCCATGTCACGTCACCATTACGATATGGGGGTTCGCCTGATGCTTGTCGTGGTTTTT